TGGGCAGCATTGAACATGAAGTCCTGTAACATTTTGTAGTAAATAAATTACAGAGAAGGAAAAGTGGGCAGCTGATTTGCCACCAGGCGGCCTAATGACCACCGCCCATCCAAAGTGGCAAATGAAGATACTGCATCAATTTTGTGGGGCCTTTATCTACACTCATGGTATAAATCAACGAATTACTTGATTTCCGAGTTTGATGATGTTTCGACTAAATTACATTTGAATAATCATTATCATAATCATTGGGCATGAGAGAATGCCTGACCTGTCTATTATTTTCTGATTCCCAGGTCTTATTTGCGACCATCCAGTCAGCGCGACAGCCACATCGGTTGTCTACTCGGTTCGGCCCAGCATAATGAGTTCACCCTCCAAGCCAGGAACCTTCATTTCAAGCAGCCTACTCAGTTCTGACCAAGTGAGTTTATGTCCTGACTACTGCAATGCCATTTGTCAGGCTAACTTGGCGTCCACATGTAACGAATACGAAAAATAACCTGAGAACTGGCATTATGATGTCGTACACCGGTTTTGCAGGGTTTGTGGGGTGGAAGTTTAACTAGACAAAGTAACTTATTTCAAAGTCTACTATCGTTGTGTCTTTCGCTCGAATTTAAGCTTTTTTTTGTTTCACTGCTTTAGCCCGGTCCTATTGCTGCAAAATTTAATGACACTTGTGCAAGTGATGTTCGGAACGGAGCGTCGAATAAGGAATACGCCAACATTCCATGGTCAGCTGGGTATGGTTCACTGTCACAGAGCTACAGCCAATCTCAGCCGCCTCCTATGCCTAAAATGGATACTTCCTACTCATTCACTATTTCCAGAGGCCTTGAGAATCAGCAGCAACAATCTCAACAGGCTGATCCACAGACGTTGGCCACGTTGATTCAGCAACAGCTTGAGGTGATCAACGATGAAATTAAAATGATACAAGTACGTTTGCCATTAAAAGCACATTGGAAGCACAAATTCAATTAAAGCTCCCATCGAAGCTGTGCCTTTTACAGAAATAATGATTTTACTTCAAAACTACTTTAAGATGCTTCATTTCGGATTTCTTATTCCCTCGGAATTCGTAATACTTGAATTCGCTACCTCCGATCCCAAAAACGGTGTCCCATTCTAGCATTATTCATTCCTGTCTGTAATGTCTCTTGTTGTTGAGCATTATGAAAGAAAATGTTGCTTTTTGCCACAGCGATATTTGAACCCCTTACTTCGCTCCGCTGTAATCAAAGGGAAGAGAGCATAAATTAAACCCTTTTTTAAAAGTGCTAAAATTTGCTCAGAATTGTTATCTCAAGCCCTCCCTCGCAGTAGTGGACATCACTAACTACTACTGGGTTCAATTTTTATGGATGTAGTTGCATGCAGATTCAGACTTTCCATTTGGTCATGGTCTTGCAACACGGTAACCCACTCCATCCTGTGCACTACCCTTCTTCTCATGGCTTGTATGATAGGATTCAAAGCATCAAACAGGGCATTGTTTCTTAAATAACTTATGAACCTTTATAAGTGCGGCATGCTTGTCAACCATTGATTGTAAAAATTGGCCAAGTTTGCAGATACCTGTGATAGTTACAAGAGCTTTCAAAGTCACTTATTAACTGCCATGGAATCTGGATGTTGCAAAAAGAACACTCGTCGTAGCATCCACAGATTTCCTAAAGGCAAAGGAAGGCATTTAATATGAAGGTTATGCCTTTTATGATATAGTGCCTTACCTAAAAGTAGAATGGCTAATCAGAAAGCATAACATTTTCTCATTATTAAACATTTTGGTCCTGCCGATGTAAAGCTTGATCTTGTGCACTTAGAAACATCCAGACGACTAAAGATGGCAAATGTCTGCTCGCTACCCAGGTCTCATCAGGTCTCAGTTTCATTCCATTCAAGTAGCCTGGAGCTTGTGACGGAAATTGAGTTGGGACTTTTAAGTTGTGGACGTCGTATGCATCATACTATATGAATTGGTTTTTTTAAATCGCACCGGAAATGAGTTACTTTTAACTGGCCTTGAATGCAACTGGACCATACATCCGAAATGGTACACTGTTCGCTAATCTACAAAAAAATGGACCGAAACAGATGAAGTCTAGATCTTAGTAGAGTTAGCTTTTTGGGAACGAAATGCATCACCATCACAACGATCTTTTTCCCTTGCTGATTAGCGCCTAGTCAGGATGGTTACTTAGACCTTCCTATTTAAACAGATTTTCTTCATAGTTATTGCTAAAAAAGTTAGCCCTTGTGAAAGTTCAGATTTATTAAATGAATTCCTCTCAAAAGTGTCTTCTGCTCATTTCATTGCCTAACAAAGCTTCACATTATCTGACGCCATAAACGAAATGTATTGTAAATCAAATTGGTAGTTATGGGAACCTTTAGGTTACTCAAAACAGGATCAACTGCTGAACTTTCTCTCAGGCTGCTTATTTTACTCCCAATAGAACTGTCCAATTTTGAGGCAAAGATAAGTTCCACAAAACCAAAAAGCTCTGCCTATCAAAGCATGGATATGCTCTTATAGGAAGAGAAGAAGAGTACGGACCAACGTGCGAAGGAGCTACGCTCTCGAGTGGGTGGTGGTGTAAGACATGGCAACAGAGATGCTCCCACCTCTGCTTTCACACCCTTCGAAACAGCGGACGCAGGTGCCCAGATGGGCTGCTGGTCGCCTACCTCGTCACTGCAGCGCTCTACCTACAAGCCCAGTGCCTACACCACAGGTTCGTTACCTCGGCAGCCGCCTCTAAGCCAGGACGTAGAGTTGGTTTACAGAGATGACGGAAAGTCCACAGTCCCTCCTCCCATGTCTCAACTAAGGTTGCATCAGGTGAGCAGAAGTTGGCTGTTACGGCCTCAGCAAAATTCTTCTAAATAAGAACGCATGACTTCTTACCCAACTTTTATTACCATTTGTGAATCAGTCGCTTAGTAAGCATGACTTAAGTAACCAATCAGTTACACTCATTCCCCTAAAGTAAATATACTCCGCACAACTTTGAGGCTGAAGTAAACCAGTAATTTTAAACTGATGAAATTCCTGAAGTCATTTTTCGTATGCTAAGCTCACGTCATTCATGTAGCATTTAATGGTATCTAATGTTGATAAATTTTTAGAACCTGACTTAGACGACTACGATAATACTTTTACCATTGCACACCGGGTTGATGAGAATGCAGTCCAAAATGCTTCAAGTTTATTGGTTGTGTATACGTCACTTTGATTACCAGAGAGGATTCACAATGAGTCCCTTCGAAGAACGCATTGGGGCTGCTCCTCCTCCACTCATTCCTCGACGAGCACATTCAACCAGTTTTCAAATGCCAAAAAAGGTATTTATAGTGTGCTTACTTTTACTGCCATGCGCTAGACGTCTCATCATCTATCTTCATGCTTGATCTTCACTTTGCTCGCATCTACCTCCCATAATTCCAAACCTAATCAAGCACACATGTTTACCGGAACCGTTTACTTCGAATGGCTCTCATTTTTGATGAATCACTCAAAATTGATATAGGTTAAAAGTTTCATAAGTAGTTGAGGCGTTTTACTAAAGTATGCAATTTGGGCTCCTTCTCAATTTGAACAGACATGCAAGGTTTCGTTGTGATAATGCGTAGAATGAATCGAGGCCGTCGTGTAGAATGAACGACTAGCTGGTCCCACTGGCCTTGATCAAATGACACAACGCCACACTGAGCCACCTCTCTTGGCATTTGTAACAATCTTTTAAAGTCCTTTATGAAGAAGTTGCTCCCAAGTGGAACATGAACTGATGTATGGTTATAACAGTTAAGAGTTCGATGTGAAAAAAAGAGTGAGCTGGTGCGCAATAGCCCCTTATTTTATGTTTAAAGATAACGTTGCACCAGCTGTTGGTAAGTGTTCACTTTGGGAGATGCTGATTGTGCATGACTGCTATGCGACGTGGTGTGCGTGCGGTTCTGTTCATCAACGGCATTCACTGAGTATTTGGAAAATCAAAATAGCTTATTTGACGATTGGAAAGCGGATCGGGATTTAAGTGCTAAGGTGAATACTGACCGCTTC